ATATATATATATATATAAATAACAATTAAAAATATTTAAAAAATTGCGTAAGAATACTTTTTCTAATCTGTGATTTTACAGGATGATTAAATATAAAATGGGTAAAAAAAATAAAAAAAAAGGGAAAGAAAATGGTAAAGTTTAGTAGCCGAAAGGTTCAAAACTTTGTGTGGTACTGCACGTGAACTAGACCATTGATTGCAACAACTTTCTATGGATTTAGAACAAAGAATAGCATAATCATATTACTACTTTTTCAAAAAAAAAACATAATTAGTGAGTTGATTTTGGATATATTAACACCGAAAGTTGAAAGTACAGTTCAGGTGAAACAAAATATAATTGCTTTAAGTTGAATTTAGCATCTTAACAGCTACAATGCTTCAAAAACTTCTGACAAGAAAAGTAATGAAAAAGGAATAAAAACCCTTTCAATTTCATTGACATGCTCATTTCCACATCACAAATTCAATTTTCTTTTTCTTTCAAGCTGTCAAACATGTGATTTCAAAAGTTCATCTTACAATTGGAGAACTGTGTATTCTAAGATCCACCTTTTACACTTTACTCAAATAGGATAGAAAAGAAAAAAGAGGAATTGATAAACATAATATATCCATTATTTATCTCATTTTCCAAAAATTAAAAATATTTTTTCTGGTTCTTATATCTTTTAACAAATATGAATTTATAATAGAAAATTCTTATTGTATTAAGAGTAAAAAAGTCATTAGATAATTTTTTTTTTCTAATTAAAGCTGATCTTTTTGTAATGTCTAAAATTATCCTGAAAGTTTGTGTTAACATTTTTGTTTATTCTATAACGATTTGGTCTACAAATTTGTTTACAAATTACAAATATTCTCTTATAATTTTGTTTCATAAAATAAATTATTTAGGGTTGTGTGATTTTCTTTCATTTATAGCAATTATTAATGGAATTAAATTTTTAACTACTTTTTTTTCTTTATACATCTTTTACCTTTTTCATTTTTTGTACTCATATATTGTATAACAATTTTTTAAAGGACACTATTTTCATCTGTAATGGTAATCTTTTTATATATTTTTGTAAAATTATTTTCATTGGATAACATTTATATTACAAATTTTAATTGTATTTATTGTTTTCTTTTTATTGTCATAACTCATCTGTATTTTTTCTGGTTTGTACATTATCACTTTTTGGTTGGAATGTAGGGAGCTATTACTTCTTGGTTTACACACTTTCTAAAATATATATCATACCTTACTAAATAACCTTTCAAAAACAAGATGTTCGAACAAATTTTCCAAAATATAGAAGATGCATTGTGAAATGAGATTTTCAAAACAAACTTTTTAATATATATTGATGAAAACGAATATGCAGAGGCAGAAGTGGCTTGGGATAGGAAGAGGGTCTTTTAGTCTTTTGTGGGTACAGGAGTGTAGTTAGTAACCAGCGGGTGGAAGACGAAAAAGTCTCAAGTTCTCAAAAGAGGCCCATATCATTTGGAACCATAGAAATATAAAGCAGCCTGACTTATAGGACATTTTGGGACTGCTTCTTCCTCACCTCCCAATTTCTCTTTATGCACCCCATTAAAGTTGTACTTCCCAAACCACCTCTTATTTCTTACTTTAAATATTTTTCGGATTGAATATTCCATAAGATATTTTTGGATCCAATGACTTTTGGAAAATCTAATCCGAAATATAAAAAAAAATTGGAAAATATGTTTTGGAAGACATTTTCATATTTAAAAATACATTTCAGAACACTTACTTTAGAAACCTTTTATATCCGGAATAAAAATTAATAAATTAAAGAACAAGTGTTCCAGAAGTTTCTTTCAGATCTAAAATATATTTTGTAACACTTGTTCTGAAAAAAAATATATATTCCAAAGTAACAATTCTGAACGTTATTTTAGAATTTAAAAATATCTTACAAAACAGTCATATTTCTAAATGAAAAAACAACTTTCGAAATAGGTATTTTAGAATGTATTTTCAGATTCGAAAATATCTTTTGACATATTCAATATGCAATACAAAATATTTTTTCAAAATGCGTGTTTAAAAATATATTTCTAAATCCAATAAAATATTTATAGAACACCCATTTTGGAAGTATTTTTCCTGTTTTTACTTCTTCCATATGCAACTCAAGGGTCATACTCCTCTTTTTGACCAATTTGGGGTAGATGTTCATACATGCATTGGACAAATCTTGGTAATAGGAAAAAAATACTTTCGGAATGATGAATCAAAGATGCCTGTACCCACTTTCAATGTCTTCTTCTTTGCTTAGAATCATAATATTAGGCTTGCATCACAACATTTCTGATTTGCCTCAACAAGTAATGCATAGGGAGACATGGTGAAGGAGGAGGCACATTGTTGAAGAGAGACACATGGAAGGAGTAAAGGGTAGAGGGAGTAAAGGAGTAAAGTATTTGCATCACACAACATTTCTTTTTTTTTAACGTAAGGTGACTTTAATTTTTTGTAGGTGGCATAGAGATTATTTCATTTCCATCCTGTAAATTTTATAGAAAAGTATCCCACAGTTCGCCGGCATTCTTCAGCCAAACACACAAAAGCAAACACAAACTAAAAGTTTTATATGAAACCTTATTCTCTATATGGCACAAAAGCAAACACAATACTAAGTTTTTACATTTCAGGGCAGTATCCTTACATGTTGTGTGATGCTTTTTGATCCTTTAGCTCAACTTCATCACAAGGAAATATTCATGTGCATATATATAAAAAAATTCAACCTTATATATGATCTGAAAGTTTTTATGTCAACAGTAAAATTGACATCTGATATGATACCTTCTCTATATGGTACAAAGAAAATACTAGAAGTTTTTACATGGGTGTTGCTTCAGGGCAGCATCCTTGCATGGTGTGTGATGGTGTTGATCCTTTCGCTCAACTCCAGCCACAAGGAAATATGCAGTGTGCCTGAAAAAGTAATGTTGTTATGGACATCAATTATTGTTAAGTGAAAAGGCAGTGGGAAAGAAAATAAACCTGAAAAAGTTCGTGAGTTTGATCTTTGAATCATCATCTATAGCTGAGGTACTGTCCAATGCTTGTCCCATATGATGTAGCCACCTCTCAGTAGCTTCATGTGTCACAGGAAATGGTCGATGTCGAGCAATTAGAGCAGGGTGCCCTACAATTTATATATCAAGAGGTTTAAACTGCACCTTCTCAGGGTATTCTATAAGAAACCACTACTCTTTTCATTGAACAAATTATATAGTCCTGAATTTCATTATTTTTTTTTCCTCAAGATTTTTTATCCTTTACAGAAGGTAGCTGATAATCATATCAATGTTTTTCCTACTATGTCATAAATTAGGAAGCTGTTTCGTTAACAATGTTCTTCAACTATAAAGTAGATTCAGACGTAAAAATAATTCATCATTAATTTAAAGTGAGTTAAATTTAATTTTATGTGGAATACATTTAAAAGTATTTTATTTCAAATTATATGTCAATTTTCACTTTCAGTGTGTACTTGTAGAAATTAATGTGGAATGCTTCAATTTCTTTAATGTGAAAACGACTCCAAAACTCTACAAGACCAAGTACAGAAATTATATACCTCTGGAAATATATATATATATATATATATATATGAAGAAACAGGGGAAGAAAATGAACCTCTTCTTTGAGAATAGAGAGGAGGACCTCCCATCCTCTGGACGAGGAATTCGTACTGGTTCTGAATTGCCGTTTCCTTGTCTGAATTCCCAAATATTGAACGAAACCACTCTTTATCATCATCATATACCCTAAGCATCGAACAATCCCCAAATCAAAACCACTGAACTCAATCATCAACAATTTAAACCAAAAAAAAGACAAAAAGTAGGACCTGTTGTAGAAATTGGTAGAGAGTGTAACGAAGGTTTGGAGGCCAAGAGTGTGAAACAAATCGCCGTCGTCGATAGCAAAAGCATCATCTGTGGAAACTCCACTCCATTCAGAGGCCTTCTGCTGCAGACTCTGCATCGCGAAAGCAGTTATCTCTCTCTCTCAACAAACTTTTCAGGCGTTGTTCTTCCCACACGCAGAATCAGAACCTGTGGCCCTGTGGCTTCAGAATGCAAGGTAAGGGTATATATGTAGGGATCAATGTTAAATTATTCATTCCGTCATTTTCATTCCCATAGTTACGTTACGATAACAAAACCGGTGTGCCCAACAAAGATTAAAAATATAATTAAGTCTATAAATTTAGAATACAATTTGTTTAACCGTATGACATGTTTACTTAATAGATTATACTATCATCACATATTACAAACCGATTAAATTATCACGAAATTATCATTAACATTAATTAGATTATAACAAAATATAATTAGTGATAGTAACTCTCTAAAACAAGGTGATCCAAGTTAGAAGAAAAACTATGATGGTTTGGTTCCTTAGGTGGAAAATATGAAAATATGAACAAGAGACAAGGTGTTTGCAAAAGCTATGAAGGCAAGGGAGAAATGTTCATGTGGTGATTGTGTGGTGGTAGTATGGTTTTTGAAAGTTCTAAAAGAGATTAGACCAACTCAAAGAGAAAAGAGAAAAATGATCATAGGAGTCTCATGGATTGCTCTAGTCTTGATTATGGCCATAAATGGATAACGTTACTTTATACCAAAGATAAAAACAAGAGAGGAGACATCTTTATTTATAGACTAAGAGTGTCTCTTAAAAACCCTAAAAATCTACACTTTACATACCTTACCATCCAAGCTATTCTTAACTGAAAATGAGGCTCTCTAAGGAATGGACAAAGTGTCCACAAATCCTCTCCAATAAGGGAAGGACATGTGACTACTCATAAAGAAAAGTCTTCTCCATTCCTGGATTGTCATTAGGTCATTACTAAAGCAAAATCCTCTTCAATGGGAGCATGACACATGACACATACTTTCTACATGGTTTGAATGTCCAACTAAGGAAAAACTCTAAACTAATTAGGCCTTAGTACAAGCCTTAAACAAATTTACTCTACTTGGCCGAAATACATGGTGTAAATACTCTTCAACCTCCATGATGACTAGTGAAAAAAAACTTTGTTTCACCTTACATAGATTACTCTAATTTCTTCTTGAAAGTGTTTGGGCCATTGTTAGGAGTATGTCATTAATTACCAATAATTGAATTGAATTGTGATTAGGTTGTCGTTGATAAAAAAAAACTCATTCTAAAAATTATAAATACAATTTGAAGTAAAAAAATGATTGCATTTAATACTCATTTATATAACTGTAGAATTATCACTAACTTTGATATGGGAGTACCTTGTGCAAGTAATCTTCATTTGACTGAGCGAGATTTGAAGACGAACTACAAGAAAAATCAAGACTCAAATTATTAAGACATACATAACATAGTAAAATAAATAACCTCAACTTCATAACCAAAACACACTATAATGATTATTTATTTATTCTAAATATAATTCTTTTGACGATTAATGTTCATATAATGTGACAGTGGATAGTGAAGGTCCTTGAGAACTCTTTCAACGCCGACAGGACAAAGCTGTAGTGGTTTTATAGTGGAGACTATGACGTTCAACAATGTTTTCACAATGAAAACTTTCGTAAAAATGAAGAAATAACTTGGCGCCTCTGTAACTTTCACGAAAATTAACCTTTGACAAAGTTTTAAGCTTCGGTTATTGATAAAATTGAAGCCTAAAATGTAATAAGTTTTAGTTTTCCTAATAATCAAAATTTTAGTGAAAATTTAAGTCTGAATTTTCATTAACCAAAGCCTAAAACATAAATAAGCTTTGATTTTAAGCGAAACCTAGAACTTTGTTCTAGAAAGAAATTTTAATGAAAAATTAGATCTTATTATTTTAGGTCTTTATGTTTCGATTTTCTCAACAGTTGAAAATTATATCTCTTCTTTTATTTAAATTAATTAAAAAATAATTTTGAATTTTTAGTGAACCTTTAAATATCAGATTTTGAGAAAGCAAAGCATAAATGTTGATAGACGTTGATATTTTTCAACAAAATAAGCTTACAAAATTTTCAAAATTACTACCACTTTTTTATATGTTTTATATTATGTCTTGGGTGTGATAAATATAATATATTGTTTACGTACTAATTTTGTAGTATTTTATGCCATTTAAAATAAAAAAATACAAAAACAAAAAATTATTTGGAAAAAAAAAAATGTATACTTCAGTTAAAATCAAAACTGCTTCAATTATAGATAACCCTAAATGGTACTAGGTTTTGGTTGTTATTATAACTCAAGCCTGATATCCTTTTCATTTAAAATATTTTTTTTTTCACGCTTAATTGCAGATTGTTTTGTGTTTAGATTAGCTTGGAGGGTTGTCATGGAATTTTGCCTGAACTGGTGTTTAACTTTAGGAATGATTATTGAATAAACCTTTTCTGATTTTATTCTTCGTGTCCTTTTCATTGATCTGCTTTTCATTGATGTATGACCCTTAGATAATGTTGTCACGAGCCATGCTAAATGCTTCAATTGGATCACTTACCCATCATGGTCATAAGAATTGAATTAATTAGGCATATGACTCATCCATTTCAAATATACACATTAATAAAACAAAACTGTAATACATGGTCTCTCGTTAAAATAAGTTGTTAAAATATCATGTTAGTTGCATTAATGCACATTCAACAATCACATCTCAAATTTGGAAGTTTAACTGTCAAAAAGAAGAAAAAAAACTGAAGACATGTATTGAACTTACACTGCCATAAAAATGGTATATTATTGGCAAAAATTAGTACAACTTACAAAGCTTTGCTTCCGATGCATGATTAATACAAACAAGAAGACATGTATACAGCATAGCATCTGATATACAAGAGTAGAAACCACTGAAATATAACTAATTCAAATCTTATAAGCATCAACTGTTTTCTTTAAAGAAAACATGACATGGGTAAAAAACAATTTCAGTGACTCTTGCACACCAACTTTATATCAACACTCTTACATTCTACTTAGTGCCCACCACCAAATCCAGCACCACCGCCACCACCAAAACCACCACTAATTCCAAAGCCACCACCGCCACCAAATCCCCCACCTCCTCCTCCTCCGATTCCTCCTCCAACTCCACCTCCACCTCCAAACCCTCCTCCTCCACCTACACCACCTCCAACCCCACCACCACCGCCAAACCCACCTCCTCCACCAGCACCACCACCTCCCCCTACACCACCACCCGCTCCTCCTCCAATGCCTCCACCCACACCATGACCAAGTCCACCGCCGCCACCCGCTCCCCCTCCAACGCCACCACCACCTCCTAAACCACCACCCGCTCCCCCTCCAATGCCACCACCACCTCCCAAACCACCACCACCTCCCAAACCACCACCGCCTCCTGCTCCACCTCCAATGCCACCACCGACACCATGACCAAGCCCACCACCTGCTCCTCCTCCAATGCCGCCACCAACACCATGACCAAGCCCACCTCCACCTCCTAAACCACCACCACCACCTGCTCCTCCTCCAATGCCACCACCACCACCAAGCCCACCTCCACCTCCTAAACCACCACCACCACCTGCTCCTCCTCCAACGCCACCACCAATACCGTGACCAACTCCACCACCACCACCAAGCCCACCTCCACCTCCACCTCCTAAACCACCACCACCACCTGCTCCTCCTCCAACGCCACCACCAATACCGTGACCAACTCCACCACCACCACCAAGCCCACCTCCACCTCCACCTCCTAAACCACCACCACCACCTGCTCCTCCTCCAACGCCACCACCAATACCGTGACCAACTCCACCACCACCACCAAGCCCACCTCCACCTCCACCTCCTAAACCACCACCACCACCTGCTCCTCCTCCAACGCCACCACCAATACCGTGACCAACTCCACCACCACCACCAAGCCCACCTCCACCTCCACCTCCTAAACCACCACCACCACCTGCTCCTCCTCCAACGCCACCACCAATACCGTGACCAACTCCACCACCACCACCAAGCCCACCTCCACCTCCACCTCCTAAACCACCACCACCACCTGCTCCTCCTCCAACGCCACCACCAATACCGTGACCAACTCCACCACCACCACCAAGCCCACCTCCACCTCCACCTCCTAAACCACCACCACCACCTGCTCCTCCTCCAACGCCACCACCAATACCGTGACCAACTCCACCACCACCACCAAGCCCACCTCCACCTCCACCTCCTAAACCACCACCACCACCTGCTCCTCCTCCAACGCCACCACCAATACCGTGACCAACTCCACCACCACCACCAAGCCCACCTCCACCTCCACCTCCTAAACCACCACCACCACCTGCTCCTCCTCCAACGCCACCACCAATACCGTGACCAACTCCACCACCACCACCAAGCCCACCTCCACCTCCACCTCCTAAACCACCACCACCACCTGCTCCTCCTCCAACGCCACCACCAATACCGTGACCAACTCCACCACCACCACCAAGCCCACCTCCACCTCCACCTCCTAAACCACCACCACCACCTGCTCCTCCTCCAACGCCACCACCAATACCGTGACCAACTCCACCACCACCACCAAGCCCACCTCCACCTCCACCTCCTAAACCACCACCACCACCTGCTCCTCCTCCAACGCCACCACCAATACCGTGACCAACTCCACCACCACCACCAAGCCCACCTCCACCTCCACCTCCTAAACCACCACCACCACCTGCTCCTCCTCCAACGCCACCACCAATACCGTGACCAACTCCACCACCACCACCAAGCCCACCTCCACCTCCACCTCCTAAACCACCACCACCACCTGCTCCTCCTCCAACGCCACCACCAATACCGTGACCAACTCCACCACCACCACCAAGCCCACCTCCACCTCCACCTCCTAAACCACCACCACCACCTGCTCCTCCTCCAACGCCACCACCAATACCGTGACCAACTCCACCACCACCACCAAGCCCACCTCCACCTCCACCTCCTAAACCACCACCACCACCTGCTCCTCCTCCAACGCCACCACCAATACCGTGACCAACTCCACCACCACCACCAAGCCCACCTCCACCTCCACCTCCTAAACCACCACCACCACCTGCTCCTCCTCCAACGCCACCACCAATACCGTGACCAACTCCACCACCACCACCAAGCCCACCTCCACCTCCACCTCCTAAACCACCACCACCACCTGCTCCTCCTCCAACGCCACCACCAATACCGTGACCAACTCCACCACCACCACCAAGCCCACCTCCACCTCCACCTCCTAAACCACCACCACCACCTGCTCCTCCTCCAACGCCACCACCAATACCGTGACCAACTCCACCACCACCACCAAGCCCACCTCCACCTCCACCTCCTAAACCACCACCACCACCTGCTCCTCCTCCAACGCCACCACCAATACCGTGACCAACTCCACCACCACCACCAAGCCCACCTCCACCTCCACCTCCTAAACCACCACCACCACCTGCTCCTCCTCCAACGCCACCACCAATACCGTGACCAACTCCACCACCACCACCAAGCCCACCTCCACCTCCACCTCCTAAACCACCACCACCACCTGCTCCTCCTCCAACGCCACCACCAATACCGTGACCAACTCCACCACCACCACCAAGCCCACCTCCACCTCCACCTCCTAAACCACCACCACCACCTGCTCCTCCTCCAACGCCACCACCAATACCGTGACCAACTCCACCACCACCACCAAGCCCACCTCCACCTCCACCTCCTAAGCCACCACCACCACCTGCTCCTCCTCCAATGCCTCCACCCACACCATGACCAAGTCCGCCACCACCACCGACACCGACTCCGTGACCAAGCCCACCTCCACCTCCTAGACCACCACCACCACCAAGCCCACCTCCACCTCCAAGGCCTCCACCAGCACCTCCACCAAATCCAGCACCCCCGCCAAGTCCGCCACCTGCACCTCCTCCAAGACCTCCACCACCACCAAGACCACCTCCTCCCCCGGCACCACCTCCAAAGCCACCACCTACGCCACCTCCTCCTCCCAAACCACCACCAAAACCAAGTCCACCGCGCTTAAACCCTCTCTTGATAATCCCAGGCCCCAACAGATGAGGGGGATGAATCAAATGCTTGTCATCCTTAACCTTTGCAACCTCCCCCACTACCAACGAACCACAACCAAGTACAATGCAGAAGGCAAACACGACAACAATGCCATCCGAAACAACTTTCATCGTAAGACGAAGAGGAAGAAGAGAAAGACAATGTGAAAGTGAGAGTAATGCGATTTGGTGCAATGAAGGAGTGAGATTATAAATAGTAAAAGAGTATGTAAGAGAAGAAGGTTGATTTCACTGAAATTACTGAACTGCCACCTGTGAAGAAGTAAATGAGGCTTACCTGTCTTCAACTGAGAGATTTAATTGCTCAACTGTCCTCCTCTCCTACGCGCTCTGAAATGAAGTCACTGTTTCAATATAACATAGCATATCAGGGTTTTTGACCACTTGGCTTCTGCTTTTTATTTTCCCTATTATTCCATTACCCCTGTTGTCTCTCTGTCCCCGTGCTAATGCCTCTGCACATTTATTTCTTTTTTTTTCACACTTGCACGGCAGTCTTAAACTGCTTCTGCATTATTGGGTTTATCATATTCATTCAGCTTCCTGTGGCCGCCATTAATGGTTCCTTCTCATACAATTAATGCAGCAACCAAACAATGTCCTCTCTACAGTACAATCTTCTTCACGCAACAACACGTCAATTTGCATGCATTATGATAGTTACCAATCCAAGTTTCAGTCATCAGATTGGTACATGGACCCGGCTTTTGTTGGGAAGAAATTTTACTAAAATGGTACATAGTATCCCGAGTTAAATTTACTCTTCAGGTACCTATATTTACAACAATATATCTGTTCTTAAACACAATTTTCCTATTTGATTATGCAGAGCTTTTCTTGTTCACAGCTTGGTTAATTATTCAATATCAACAGCTACTGATTAATGCTTCTGTTTGCAATGAGATAAAATCTGCCTGTGTTTGACGAGGGAGATGGATACAATTTTTACTAAGAAATGGAGTTTATGTATGTGAGAGAGCTCATTTCGTAGCCAATTAGGAACGCGGGAAATTGAATGGGAGAGAGATAGTAAAATCATCAACTTCCCTATTTTGCATGCATGTGGTCCTTCCGACATGAGAAGAGAAAAATGTGTTTTCGTATCTCAAGACCTGTTTAGTTTTCTTCTCTCTTTTATCGGAAGACCATCGTATTTTTAAAACTTTTTTTAATAATTTTTTTTATTGGTTCATATATGTTGTTGTAAACAAGTCTGTTAAAAAAGTTATTAAAAAGATATTTTTCTTCTCTAAAACAATTTCATTCATTTCTCATTCAAAATTTATTGTATTTGAAAATTCTTTTTTAAAAATAAGTGTCTCTTTAAAGTATGAATTTCCTTTTTTATTTTACCTAACATAGTTGTGAATAATTAAGTTTCTAAAACATCTCAAAGAAACTTAATTCTTCGATATTGTATATGAAGAATATTTTGTTTTCATTTTTTTCTTTGATTCTTCTTAAAACTATATTTTATGTGGCTATTCTCTCCCAGCTATCTTTTAGCAATCATATTTAGTTATATCTTAAAAACAGTTTTAAAATAGTTTTTGAAAATTAAAGTTAAACACATTTGAATGACCAAAATGTTCTTATTTTTATATATTGATTAAAAATTATAATACATATTATTATTATATTATTAAAGAAGACTGTCAAACACATATATATTTGGAAGCAGAATTTTAAACCAGTTTTTCCTTTTAGATTGTGTTGTGCTGCATGGAATATCATAACAAGCATTTCCATATAATTAAAAGAATAATGATACATATCCACCTTCATTTTATTTTAATATTATATATGTTTTTATCTTTTTTCTTTTATCACATGATATTATTTATAAATCTATTACTTTTATTTTTTAATATATATTAAATGTTGATGCATCTTTTTATTATTCATAAATCATTTTTCAATCCAAATAGTTTCACAGCATCGTCTACTTTACGGTGCACGTGACTAAAATATGTAATTTAATATTTTATCTTCGCAAATAGATGATGATAATGCTGACTTGCCTGTTCATGCACCATTCTTATACATTTTAGACCTTCTTTTTTAACACCATGTCAGCACTTTTATTTATTTATTTTCTCTCTCCTGTTTTTATAATCTCTCATACTTATATATAATTATATCAGTTTCACCGAACGTAATAGTTAATTTTTTTCCCCATTAAAGCCACTACCAAGGTCTTCACCTTTGCCAAATCCGAAACCCCTGCCAAATCTGGAACTGCTGCCATATCCGGGACCGCTACTGGCGTCGACCCCGAATCCGCCGCCGGATCCGCCACCGTATCNAACCACCACCACCACCTGCTCCTCCTCCAACGCCACCACCAATACCGTGACCAACTCCACCACCACCACCAAGCCCACCTCCACCTCCACCTCCTAAGCCACCACCACCACCTGCTCCTCCTCCAATGCCTCCACCCACACCATGACCAAGTCCGCCACCACCACCGACACCGACTCCGTGACCAAGCCCACCTCCACCTCCTAGACCACCACCACCACCAAGCCCACCTCCACCTCCAAGGCCTCCACCAGCACCTCCACCAAATCCAGCACCCCCGCCAAGTCCGCCACCTGCACCTCCTCCAAGACCTCCACCACCACCAAGACCACCTCCTCCCCCGGCACCACCTCCAAAGCCACCACCTACGCCACCTCCTCCTCCCAAACCACCACCAAAACCAAGTCCACCGCGCTTAAACCCTCTCTTGATAATCCCAGGCCCCAACAGATGAGGGGGATGAATCAAATGCTTGTCATCCTTAACCTTTGCAACCTCCCCCACTACCAACGAACCACAACCAAGTACAATGCAGAAGGCAAACACGACAACAATGCCATCCGAAACAACTTTCATCGTAAGACGAAGAGGAAGAAGAGAAAGACAATGTGAAAGTGAGAGTAATGCGATTTGGTGCAATGAAGGAGTGAGATTATAAATAGTAAAAGAGTATGTAAGAGAAGAAGGTTGATTTCACTGAAATTACTGAACTGCCACCTGTGAAGAAGTAAATGAGGCTTACCTGTCTTCAACTGAGAGATTTAATTGCTCAACTGTCCTCCTCTCCTACGCGCTCTGAAATGAAGTCACTGTTTCAATATAACATAGCATATCAGGGTTTTTGACCACTTGGCTTCTGCTTTTTATTTTCCCTATTATTCCATTACCCCTGTTGTCTCTCTGTCCCCGTGCTAATGCCTCTGCACATTTATTTCTTTTTTTTTCACACTTGCACGGTATTCTTAAACTGCTTCTGCATTATTGGGTTTATCATATTCATTCAGCTTCCTGTGGCCGCCATTAATGGTTCCTTCTCATACAATTAATGCAGCAACCAAACAATGTCCTCTCTACAGTACAATCTTCTTCACGCAACAACACGTCAATTTGCATGCATTATGATAGTTACCAATCCAAGTTTCAGTCATCAGATTGGTACATGGACCCGGCTTTTGTTGGGAAGAAATTTTACTAAAATGGTACATAGTATCTCGAGTTAAATTTACTCTTCAGGTACCTATATTTACAACAATATATCTGTTCTTAAACACAATTTTCCTATTTGATTATGCAGAGCTTTTCTTGTTCACAGCTTGGTTAATTATTCAATATCAACAGCTACTGATTAATGCTTCTGTTTGCAATGAGATAAAATCTGCCTGTGTTTGACGAGGGAGATGGATACAATTTTTACTAAGAAATGGAGTTTATGTATGTGAGAGAGCTCATTTCGTAGCCAATTAGGAACGCGGGAAATTGAATGGGAGAGAGATAGTAAAATCATCAACTTCCCTATTTTGCATGCATGTGGTCCTTCCGACATGAGAAGAGAAAAATGTGTTTTCGTATCTCAAGACCTGTTTAGTTTTCTTCTCTCTTTTATCGGAA